ATGACCGGGGCTTCTCTTACTTAAAGCATATTTTGATTCAAATAATCATAATAATGATGATAAAAAAAAAATGAACACATAAAGTATATTTATATGTATAACGTCAACCTTGGGGTTGCAATATTTCAATGAAGATTATTATTATTATAAAGATTAATTTTGACAAACGTCTACACCAGTTGTGTCAAACAAAGGGATTATATCATAAGTAATTTCTTCAGAATACACTGGGATGTTTTCATATTTTTTATTACAGAGAATTGCGAGTTTATTGCTGAGTTCAAGGAAGAAGAACATTGGTAGGTATTTATGTATGTTAAGTGTGTTAAGTAAAGCGTAATGTTTTGAGCTTTATAGAAAATAGAAGATAGAGATACACTGTTTTCAATATCGTGCAGTTTTCTTAGACAATGTGGTTAAATGAACGATTAATTGGCGATTTGCTAACTGCTTCAAATTGCGATTTGCATTTTAAACTCTTGTCCACTGATGGTCTAGAATATTAGGCCTACTGAAACGGTTCACTACTTCCATTTGTGTTATCAATCTTAGCTGTGGTATATGGCATATTTGCTTGAAGAGGATGAATACTTTTGTCATGTCAGTCTTAGGGATAGGGTTTCTATCGACCGTTACGGATAGAAAAGAATAAAATGTGTTCAGGCCTACCCAACTACCAGACTCGGCACCTAAGGATCCTGAATTAACCAGTATATCGGACCACACTACCCGTGTTCAAGGTGTGTGTCAGATCGCATTTCGGAGTATCAGCCAGAACACCGACAGGATGAGCCCTGGCATGCTCGGCTGTCACCTTAATTGGATAGTAAACGATTGTTGTAAAATCGCTATATGATTTTAAACCGGGTGCATAAATTTGAAAGCCACCTAGATGAACATTTGACTGCCACATTAATCTAATACAATGCAAAAAAGCACTATCAAAAATGGTTAAAACATTCAAACCGAAGTCCCCATATATCCCCATAGAGACAGTAAAATAGAGTACTCTAAAGTAAGACTACAGTTTAAGGTTGTTCAGCCGAGCGTGGATGAGCCCGCAGTCGTGCTACAAAATTTGTTCTGGGGTATGATACTCCGAAATGCGATCTGACACACACCTTGAAAACGGGTAGCGTGGTCCGATATACCGGTTACTTCAGGATCCTTAGGTGCCGAGTCTGGTAGTTGGGTAGGCCTGGTGTTGTACAGGGGGTATTTATATGCTATGGAAACCAGGTTACTGAAGTTTCCAATATATATATATATGTCACAGGTAAGATTGAAATCCAGGCGAGATTCAAATCCAGGTCACAGCTACAAAATTTCTGGTGATCGTCAGATTTTTATCAGATTCTCTCAAATTTCAAGCATCTGAGGCAGCAGACCGATGGAACATTTGGAAGATTCCGTGACAGGTTGGATTTCCTGGGCAGAGTCTTTACCTAACGATTTCTCCAAAGAAACTTTACGATGGCAAAAAGCAACAGATTCTGGGTTGTGCGTGTTCTCTACATTTTATGCACCACGATTAAGAGGCAGAGAAGTAAAAGTAATATCAGCGGCATGCGAATCTGTAGAAAAATACATGCCTTTGTATTGTCGACTTTGGTTTGAGACTGAACACATATACTATAATGGAACTGTCGGAGGGAACATATTGACTGATATCCGTCGAAGAGTGCTTGAATATATCCATAGGGTTGACAGAAATGGGAGATATTTTAGAGATGTACATGCACAATATACATTTGTGATGATATATATATATATATATATATATAAAGATACATATAAAGATATCGTTAGTTATATATATATATATATATATATATATATATATATGGCTATATTTGGGATGTGATTTATATAGCTGTGACCTGGATTTGAATCTCGCCTGATTTTCAATCTTGCCTGTGACACACACACACACACACACACACACACACACACATATATATATATTTTTTTTTTAAGTGTTTTAAAATAGAACGGATAAGAGCTGCGTTTGATAGCTTGCAGGTATAGCAAGGAGTATAGTTTCAGCATCAATCAGTACATGAACCCAACCCTGTGGAAATCCGGCGAAATGGGGCGTTTTTACAAACTTAATTAAAAACATCTCCATCCATGCTTGGAAAAAGGAAAAATGTCTTAGATATATGTATTTGAAAGATGTGAGAGAGGCCTTGTCCATGGATTGGTTAATTTTATTTATTGTTTAGATAGACACGTTCATTTGGCACCCACGCCCGTTTATCCCTTCAATTTTCTCCCCAACTACAACTGACATGCCTTAGCAATACCTTAGGGCAGTGGGAAGAAAGTGGCCGTAGTTTGATTTTGGCTATTACTGTTAAAAGTATATTTTGAAGTTATTTTCTAGCCTTCGGCAATTTTCGTAAAACTTGCGCATATGTGACAGGTATTGTTAATAACAGTCCGTAAGGTAGCAGGATTTGGTGGCCCAGTAGTCCAGTTATTTATTTAATTGTGTCAGCAAATGTGTTTGTTATTAAACAGAAATATGTTTATGTTTTAGTGCAACACCAGGAAGCACCATAACAGCAAGGTGAATATATATTCAAAGTAGTTGCATATATTTATTTCATTTGAAATGTAGGGGGTCTTTCCCATACGGGTTGTACAAATTTAACTTAAAAGTGTTTAGTATTCATTCACTTACATATCTTGTTTTTGAATTTTAATTTATACAACCAGTTATTTTTATTTCAGCATACCTATATCGGACAATGCCCAAGGAACATGGTAAATAAAACTTTTATGAATATACTAACCTTTTTTTAGAAGTTAGTTGATATAAATGGTAGTTACATTGAGCATGCGATAATAAGGCAAAATAGATTGCCTAAATAGTTCACCAAATGTAATGACAGATTTTAAGGCTTAAAGGATTTGCTTCATGCCGTCAGAATGGCCTGAACGGAACATATTCTTCAGAAAACATGCCCAACTAACGATATCTTTATCCAAATACACAAATTAAAAGCTCATTTTGTAAATTTTTGGCTTTAAAAAACGTCCTATTTGCTCGGCCTGAGAGTTAATGAGCTACGTTGTCACGTGGTCTGATGACGACAATCGAGCCACTGGAGAATAGAGCGTGCTTAGCTGTTAAACTGAGCTGCATTGTCTACCTGTAAGCTGACTTTTTGACACCTGATAAAAGTTCATACTCATTCAAATCTGTTACCAGTGGGGTCTTATTCCTCGTGAAGCCGTGTGAAGCCATGTGAAGCCATTTTCCTGTCTATTCAATTCTTTAACTAGCATTTAATTATGGTTATCCCAACTAGTATAAAATACTGTAGTCGAGTGACTAGAGCGCATTTTAATCATTCGACATTGGGGATGGAAGACCTTGCAACTGACCTCGAAATTTCTCCATACCAGTTTGAACCAATGATACATTATTCAGAAGAGTCTACGGATCCTGAAAGTGACGCCGAAAGTCAGCATTACGAGGTATCGGAGGTTGACGGAGATTTTTCAGCCGACGAGTCTGAGGATCCACGCCTGGATAATACTGAATGGTAGGAGAGAGTAACTTTGTTTAAAGTTTGATAAAATTTGATGTGCTAATTTTTGGGTGCAGAAAATCAACTAACTTCTATATATCGTAATCAATCGTTACTATATATATATATATATATATATATATATATATATATATATATATATATATATATATTATAAGCTACGGAGAGACAAGCGCTTATCGCGTCCCGAAGCCGCCCCACTTGCAAGTCGGCAAAGTCAACCCCGTTTTTTTTTTCCATAAATGCAATTAAAGTGGTAAACAATTATCTTTTCATTATTCAAAAATCTCTTCCAGGTGTTTGTGTGNGTAAGCTGACTTTTTGACACCTGATAAAAGTTCATACTCATTCAAATCTGTTACCAGTGGGGTCTTATTCCTCGTGAAGCCGTGTGAAGCCATGTGAAGCCATTTTCCTGTCTATTCAATTCTTTAACTAGCATTTAATTATGGTTATCCCAACTAGTATAAAATACTGTAGTCGAGTGACTAGAGCGCATTTTAATCATTCGACATTGGGGATGGAAGACCTTGCAACTGACCTCGAAATTTCTCCATACCAGTTTGAACCAATGATACATTATTCAGAAGAGTCTACGGATCCTGAAAGTGACGCCGAAAGTCAGCATTACGAGGTATCGGAGGTTGACGGAGATTTTTCAGCCGACGAGTCTGAGGATCCACGCCTGGATAATACTGAATGGTAGGAGAGAGTAACTTTGTTTAAAGTTTGATAAAATTTGATGTGCTAATTTTTGGGTGCAGAAAATCAACTAACTTCTATATATCGTAATCAATCGTTACTATATATATATATATATATATATATATATATATATATATATATATATATATATATATTATAAGCTACGGAGAGACAAGCGCTTATCGCGTCCCGAAGCCGCCCCACTTGCAAGTCGGCAAAGTCAACCCCGTTTTTTTTTTCCATAAATGCAATTAAAGTGGTAAACAATTATCTTTTCATTATTCAAAAATCTCTTCCAGGTGTTTGTGTGGTTCATGCCATCCAATGTCTGATGGACTAGAGTGCATATGCTGTCGGGAATTGAGGCCCGTAGAGGACAAGCTAGAACACGAAAACAGTATCACGCAAGTGGCTGCATTCTCCAGTGTATGCCTTAATAGAGACGTCATTGAAGTCAACATGTACCAGTACGTGAAACAGGAAGGACCGACTGATGACAATGTGCCCATTAACCAGTAACTTTTAAAAGTTTTATTCTAAGTCTTTGTCCATATTATTGAAATAAACTGACATATTAATAAATATGAACAACAAGCACTGTTTTTATTATCCGGAGTATTTATTTTAAGTGTGTTTCTTTTTTAACTAAAGTTGCACAAGTAAAATGTGAATAAATAAAAAAATTAACAAATATTAAATTATAATTACCACACTGTCCGAGTTGTGGCAGTGGCATCTTTATACATTCCTCACTAAAATATTCTTTCAAACATTTGTTTCAGGTTATATGGTTACATAGCCTATCGGTCCTTCACAAGATGGATCCACCACATTTTAGGAAGAAAAAAGAGAATGGTTGTTCCCTCCTGTGTTGTTTATAAAATAGGACACATTTCCATCTGAGGAGTACACCGGGTTCAAGTATGCAAGGCCATAAAGACTTTGAAGACTTTGTAATATTTTGTACAGAATTATAAAGGATCAAAAAAGTGCATAATAACTTATATCTTACTGACATGAATATATCACTTGTTCTCTGTTACAGTATTTATGTATCAGAATCTTGTTTTCTAAGTTCCAAGTAATTACTTCCGAATTCTTTGATCCTGGAATCGTGATTTCCGGCTCTTCACCAAAACAGACTTTTCGTAAGCCTCATAGCCACTGTTGAGAGCTGGTGGAGCTTCTGGTAACAGATTTTCTGCTTCATTCCTGGCGACAGGGTAGCTTGGAAATTCAAGACGCCTTTGAACAACTTCCTCCATCAACCTGGCAGCATACACTGCAAATATATTGTGTGTCAACACTCAGTAAACAAGTTTTATTTCAGTTGGTTTCCACATACCGTTTCCACATACCGTTATTCTTAAAAATGGACTAGTATTTATTTTCACCCTCAAGCTGTTATGAGTGAGACAAATGCCTAATGATGATTCCATTTTCCATAATGAATATAAATAATTAAACATCTTCTAATTAATCAGCAGATAAAGTTTTGTTTTCTTTTCAAACATTGTGAAGTGGAGCAATCTTCAAATGTAACAAATCCCTCAAGCAGATTTTCTGACAAACTCCTGTGTGCGTTTTTGTACACCTTGCTCACAAATAAAGAATAGCTACTTCTTACTAAATTATCAATTGAGTATTATTATTTTTCCTTTATTGAAACTATTGTAATTGCAGTTACCATATGTGGGCTTGTTCTTGATGGGTTTTGCTATGGCCACTGTCCCTTTCTTCATCTTTGGATGAGCTACTGACCACCGTGCAATGCCTTCTTTTGTTACAGCTTGACCTTTGTCTGAGTTCTCGTTGTAATGAAGTGCAGCAAGAAGGAGTCTGCAATAACAAGAACAGGTTTCATGCATGAATTTGTTAATTTTTATACAACAATTCTCCTAACTAAGGGAACTTGGCATATTTTTAACTATATTTCTAGGGGGTTATTTGTGAACCTTCCCCTTACATACCTTCCTATCATTCCCTTGTAAGAATAATGCGTTGACTTTGGAGCAAAGTGCACAATCACTGAGTGAAACACCTCACAGCCATAAGTTTGGTACATGGGTGATAGCATGGGGATGTCCTTTAAGTGTGTGTCCATGATAAGACCAGTCAGAGGGTGGCAAGGTGGGGGTCAACAGATTTCAACCAAATTCATAATATAGTTGCATACATAGGAGATATTCACATTGAAGGCAACAATCCCAAAATAAATCATTGGATATAATTATAATATAATATTAAATGTTTTGGCCATTTTTGGCTTGATTTTCAGCTTCGGTCAATAAAGCCACTTCATAAGCAAATATGTCAAAACTGATGACTTTTAAAAATAAATTGATAATTTACCTATTTAAAGCAGCCATTTGCCATTGAGAATATGTTACTTAATTTCAGTTTAACCCACAAACTAACGAGCCACGCCCATTTTTATAACCCCACCCCCCAAACTCAATTTTCTACCAAGCAATGTTCAAGCATTCATATCTCTCTTTTTGCAAGGTTGACAGCCATAAAATTGTATAGGGATCCTGACCATATATTGGTCTCATCAGACAAAATTTAAAAAGTGTGTTAAACACAACAGAAGATATTGAAAAAGTGCCTCAAACATAAGCAATTTTAGCAGAAAACCAAACGACCGAAATCAAGATATCAGTACATTTTGAGATAATACCTTCCAATAATCAAATTTAATCAAAGACTCACAGCCAGGAATTCAAACAATGCTTTGATAAGGGCAAATCTATCCAATTTTTATAAATACAAGATGGCTGCCATCAATTCTGTCCCAAAATACAGTTACCATAATTCCTCAAAATAATCATGAGGCCCATTTTTGCAGGTTTTTT